CGTAATCTTATCGTCTAATTTAGATATTAAATTTTGCAACTGACTTGTTTTATCCACTTGAATAAGACGTTTCAAACTCGTTAACTCTTGTTGTAGTTTGGGTTCGTCCACAAGATTTTTAATATTTCGTCTGATGAATCTTTTCACGTCATTTATTCTATTTTCAACATGGTCCTTATCTATTTGAATTGCGTTTATTTGATCCAGTAAATATTTCTTGTTCACGGCATCGTTATCGTTTCCTGGAAACTTTAAATTAGTTATTTTGAATTTGTTCATATCGATATCCCCTTGTAAGGTGTCTCCGATTTGATCCACGAAAAAAGGTTTCGCTTTGTTTACAAACGCCGTAGAACTCATGGGATTTTTAGATTCTAGAGGTAAAGACCCTAATCCAAACTTGTTTGCCATTTTTATTCAGTTAAATTTATTATAATTTCTTCAAACTTTTCTCCCAAACTCAACCGATATAAAACCCAAAGCGACAGCTGTCCACACAGCTTTTGTCCTGGCATTTGAATTTGAAACGTAGAACATTTGATTGGTTTGCTAGTCATTTTCGTTATCTCTTCTGTCGGTTCTAGGCCGAAAGAATCAAAGAAATAAAAGTTATTCGAAGAATCTTTGTGTAGAGCAGAGTGATAAACTCCTTTTTGATCCGACGTGGGAATGTTTGTGATGGCGTAAAATTTACCTTTCTTGTATTTCAGTTCATCAATTTCATCTCGCATGCAATAATAAAACGGCGAGACGTTCAACTCCTTGGCCCATTTCACAAGTTGAAAATTTGTGGTCGCGTCTTTTCCGTATTTATCGAGAAATGCATTCATTTTTTAAGTCGATTTTTTTAGGTGTTTTTCGAAGTAGGCGGAAAGTATTGCTGAAGACCCAATTGACGAAATATATACGTAGTTTGTGTTTGAAAAAACTTGTATAACATTCTGATAAAACACATTCAATAATATTTTGAAGATAAATTTACATTTAAATTTAAAAAATCTTAATTTAAGAGAGCGTAAATGCTTGTCGACATCTAAATTTCTTAACCTTTCATCTAAATCTTCATTTTCGAGATTCATTTTTAAAAGTCAGTTTTTTGAAGTTTATTTTGATTAAACCTTCCTATGATTTGTTCTTTGTCTTGATCGATCAATTCATACGTGGGAAGTGATGTGTTGTTTACTTTATCAACGATGAATATCTCGTTAGTCCAATAGCCGACGTAACCTTTCTGAAACAATGATTTATATTTAAAAATACGAACTCGATCTCCAACTTTGAATTTGGGTTTAATATTCAAATTGCTAATCTCGTTTTCAAAGTTGTTTCGAGTGTTGACGGACTTTTTGATATTCGGGTTATTAGAGGCTTGGGATGGCGTCACACCTATAGACGAATGTATTTTGTTATTGTATTCGTCGACATCAACTGGTAATATTTTAAGCCATTTTTGAGATTTCAATTCAGTGAATTTCTTGAATAATTTGCTTTTAAGAGTCCTGTTGAATCTTTCTATCACTACGGCTTTACCTTCGTTATGCGTGCTGTAAATTTCAAACCCCAGAGATTTCACATTTCTATTGTAGAATTCGCTTCCTTTATCAACCCACAACTTTAGGGGTCGTCTGTCGGATTGTTTCATTATGGTTTCGAATGCTGACCAAATTTCATCTTTATCAAAAACTTTTACTTTGAGGTAATGTTTGTTTTTTCGAAATTCTTTGTGAATCTCGTCTGCTATGCCCATACCCAATTTCAATTTTGCCTTCAAGAGTTTTACGATAAGAGCCCTTTGTAATTTCTCTTTGAAAGTGGGATTGGGAATATTTTCGAGTTCGTCTATCATTTGTTTGTCTGCTTGGTGTCTGAATGTTACGTCTTTATTTCTGTACAGTATGTCGTGTTTGAGCGCTGCTGCGTCAACTCTATTAACGGGTTCTTCCCCTGGTTTGGGATTATCATTTTCGTTTAAACGCAGATCTAACCTAGTGCCTGGACCTGTATAATTGTGCCCTGGGAGATGTTTTTCTCCGGGATATTTTGCCCATGGGAATCCAGGAAGAGAACCCAATGACTTTTGAATGTCTCCCGCACCGAAATACGTTTTAGGAGGATGGACATTTATTAAAGACATATTTGTTCAACATATATTTTTAATACGAAAGATTTAATACAAGGAGGAAATTTGTTGTTTGAGACAAAATTGGCTACTTTGGGGATGAGAGATGTTAGCGCAGAGAAGAAACCGTCTCCTTCGAATTTTTTTTGTTCGTGTTTTAAAATTAAAGACATTTTTAATGCGGTTATTTTTTACTGTATTATTATTAGTGATTCTTGTCTGTGGTTTGGGTAATTTATATGGAGTCTGTTATAATACAGTTTGGAGGAGTTTGTTATAATACAGTTTGGGGAGTCTGTTATAATACATTTTAACAGTTGTGTCTTTTCGGATATGATGCATTGAAAAAGCTGCGCATGCGCAGAAGTGAAATGCGTCATATCCGAAAAGACATATACTACTGGAGTCTACAGATTCTAGTTGGGTCTGTAGATTCTAGTATAGGGAGTCTGCAGATTCTAGTTGGGTCTGTGAATATAGTATGGAGGTCTGGGGACTCTAGTCCTTCGATTATACACTACCGTAATTCTTAACATCCAAGCCACAGAGTGATGACTCAAAAACATGTATTTGACACATGTCACTCCTGCGTGATGTTTTGATGGGGATAGAGAACCATTTTGAAGATTGGAGTGCTGTCCTGCTGGTGCCACGTTTATTGATTGAACCAGCAGTCGAGACTTCTACTCCTTTGCAATGGAGCGTTTGATCGACAGATCAGTAATGTTATAAAGCTCAACAAGTTGAAATTACTGTAACACAATCAGCATGGAACAATGTAATTGCCTTTGACTTATCAGGTCCCAGATCACCAGCAACGTCCTTTATTTGCTGCTATGTAGCACCGAAACCTGTCTATTACGAACTCAAATTCACGTAGTTATTGCTGCAATGGCCAGAATGACAAGTCTACTGCCAGATAGGTACGCATGTAGGTACATAGCATCTGTTGCATGTACCACCATTCGGATGTCGGTCTCCTAATGTTTGCATGGGGCCAATTTCACGTGGCTACATATACAAATATATTCACAACATGTTACCCTAAAGTAATCGTTTGCCAAATATGTTGCTTATATCACAAAATGTACTGTCTGAAGATAATTCCTGCCTATTTCGGAATTCATCGATTTAAGACAATTTGGGGGTGGCGCGGGGGGGGGGAGGGGGGGGGGGGGGTCACTCCATTGGCCTCCAAAATAATATATCTCCATAATATGTTCCTGTGATGATTATCTTGGCATGGGATCTATAAATATGTTTTAGGGAGATAAAAATTCTTGAAGACACACAATTAATAAGCAATTTATATTTAATTTGTACAAATATGTATTGGGAACATACAGTTTAATTACGGAAAGCATAATTAACATCATTGCCTTCAACGGTGCATGTTGTCTTTGAGTAGACTGTTCCTTGATAAGTTTTGGTAAATTCTTTTCCTGGACTGAAACATTTTCCCTCGTCATCTGCACAATCTATTAAATAATAAAAGTAATGATAATAATGTATTTACAGAATTACATCCTTAAAAATCTGAAATTGAAGAACACCTTCTGACGTTAGGTCTACTTCAGTCTAATTAAAATAAGACCAAACTTTCGTTGCGTTTTTTTTAAAGTCTTAATTTTTGATATCGCCACTTCTGTAAGGGTCTAACGACAGATCTTCTGAAAGCCTCTATCGTCCACTCCCTCTTTATTTACGTACAGCTTCGACGAGAGATGGTCTGAAATGGTTGCTTAAAATCTTTGTAATTGACCGTGTCTAGTCTGGGTGTCATAGACTACCCTCCTGAACGTTCGTCAAATTAACCAATAGAAATTTGAGCTCCTTGAAGAAAGGCATGCTTGGCAACATTCGCCACCATCTCTACATCCACTCCTCGCGATACCATCGCTAAACCACAAACTAATTCTACGTGTACGATAGGACAGAAAATCGAATTACATGTATACTTACTTATTTCTTTGTTGATAAACCCAATTCTTCCATCATCGCCTTCTTGGCAAAACATTGTATAACAGTTAATTATATTTTCATGACCAAGTGGAAAGCATGAACTTTCCCGTTCACATTCTAAAATGTAATGGTTACGGTTAAAAAGAAGAAGTGAAATATTGGACATTTGGCGGTTCCCTACTTGCATGTTTCAACAACAGTGAATAACAAAACAATAGTCTGTATATTATATTGTATATTATAATCAAAGTGGACGTTTGGAACAGGGGTTCAGTAAAATCAATACAGGTCACACCACATTTCAATTCTTGTAATGGTCAAAATAGTAAATACACAAACTGAG